TTTTAGTACGTCTTTATGCACAGTCCTGTAAAAAGAGTGCTCAGAGCATTTCTTGCTATTTTCTTCTGGTAGAGCCGTTGGGATGTTTCACAGTTCAGAGTATGCACCTGCAAGCTTTTCTGAGTATGAGTATCTTATGCTTTATAGTTCCCACGCACTATAAGAGCTTCCCTGTAATTAGTAAAACAGAGACCTCATCCCCTTCCTTGTAATTAGTAAAACAGAGACCTCATCCCCCTCCTTGTAATTAGTAAAATAGAGACCTCATCTCCCTCCAATCAATTAAAGAATATTAGGTTGAAATTCAAAGGAAAACATGTTTAAAAGAGATAGACATTGCTTCTCTTCCCTAGCTGTCACCAATCCAAAGTTATCTAGACTAAACTACTCATCTACACCTCCACTGGCTTGATGACAGACAACCCTACAATGATTAGTCTTGTTTGAATTCCAAATGGCTTACATAACCTTACGTAACTGCCTTAGGTAACATAACTTTCTCTACGATTCACACAAATGTTTATTCACATGTTGACGTCACTGGAACCACTCCCTGTGTATCAATTTTGGACATTTGTTTAAATATACAGCAATAGATTTCAGATCTCTTATAATTAAAATAAATTAAAGCCAGTGTATGCTTCACCATATTCTGCAGCTATACTTTGTACAAAGGGAAAAAAGATAATCAAATAAGATAAACAAATAGATTTATATTTGCTACTTTATGTTCACATTTTTACTTCAGCTTTGCTAGGTGACACAGGATATTATAGTTTTACTATATAACATTCCTCCATAGTTAGTCCATCTCAGAGCAAAAAAACCAAAACACTTGATAAAAATATTAGTTAGATAAAATGATGCAATACGAAGATCTTTGAATAACAAATTAAGAGTAATCCTGTTTGTTTCATTCCTGCAAAATGACTTCTATCACATTACCAAAACATTATCTAATCAAGTACAGAACTGATTCTATCATTAGAAATTACCTATTTAAATATCTTTCATCTAAGTAAAAAACATCCCACTTCCTTAGTGAACTAGTATCTAAATAAAAAAATCCTTAGAAAGGATAAGAGAGCTGTTGTGAAATAGTTTAACACAATACTATACACAACACTATAGCAGTACTGCTTTGCATACATATGCACAAGGTCAGAATTATTCCAAAATTCATGTTAAAAGTCATTGGTAATTAGTATCCCTTGTGCTTAACTTCTTCTACATAAGGAAAAAGTTGGACCAGACTATTCTGATATGCACTGGTGACTTAAGGCAAGATTAAACAGTATATTTTGTATTATTGTAGCTATATGTATATGGTAATGTAAAATTATATTTTAAAGGTTATTTCAAAATTAATAAAGCAAAATGTAAACCATTGACAAACATACTTAACAGAACATATTCCAAAATGTCTATTGGAAGCAAAAATATTAGGAAATACAGTAATTAAACTTTCAAAAATATTAAATTTTTGAAAATTAAATATTAGAGATTTTCCCTGAAAACTTTATTCAAAATAGAGAGCTTCAAAACTTGGTACTCTTCTTAATCTCCACTTTTAGCCTCATTCAACAGGTAAATATCAAACAGAATATCAGTGCAGAAATTAGCAACATTTTCCAGGAATGTGTTTTTTCTTGACTACTCAATTTAAAAGGGAACTTCAAACTACCCTCCAGGAACCGATTCCTCACTCTTCACAGTCAATACAGAAAACCAAAAGTCCATTTTATTTTGCCTGAAGAACTTCCAGTCAAAGAGTTCTAAATTTGAAGAATATTTTCTCATATAAAGTGAATGGAAAGTCTTAAAATGCTTTTTTGCCCTAAAGAAAATTTTTAAATACAAATGTTTTTTGTATTACATTTAACCCCAGAACACATTAACAACGGGCTGATTAAATTTTGCGTATGTATCAGTTAATTTATATAATAAACATATAATAAATACTATGAACCACGCTTGGAAAATACCAAAAGTAGCTACTTGCATAAGTAGCCCTTGTTAGAGTCACAGAAATTCCAGCATCCGTTATTTGTAACTAGAATGAATTTGCACATGAAGCGCATACAGAGGCATGTATCTAAGGAAATAATTGTTTTCTTGTATCCATTCATTAGTAAATGTTAAGTAATGTTTTACAATATGCAGCATTTACCTGTTGAAAAACATCCGCCCCTTCATCATAATCCACTATTGTGAAAAACAGCTTGTTTGAAAAAGCAGATGAATAGCGCCACGAATTAGCCAGAACTTGATATTCTTCATTAGCTTGCCTAAAAGAAACAAGCATACATCCATGTGGCATTCACTTGCACAAGAGACACTCTATCCAGCTGCAGCAGTTAAATTAATTATTCTTGCAATATCACTCTCAACGTTCACGTTACCAATTTTAAAAGAAGTCTCAGCTCATAATGCGTCTGTGTTTCATACTTCTCTAAAATTACAAAGTTTTAAGTCAAACTAAAAGCAGAAACATTTCATATGTTAATCTTTTTCACATTTAAAAGCCTCAGAAAACACAAAAGCCTTATGAGTAGCCTTAGTGGCAAGCATCACCAAAATCTGCAAGCATGTCTATGCATGGAGACACTTACATGGTCCACAAGTACAATACCAGGATTTACTTGAGGAAGAGGATATGGGAATACTGAAACCAGTGGAAAAATTAAGCAGAAATGTGACTGCAGTATTATTTCAAAAATACCAAATGCATAGAAAAAGCTCTGGAAAAAAAATAATCTATCCCTATTCACTATGCCAAAAAAACTGTTAAACACTGGGGAAGTAATTAAACTGACAGGAGGTTTGTAAGTAACAGAAAAATGCTCAAGATTATTTCTATAAAACATGTTTTGGAAGTGATAAAGGATAGTTTTCCACAATGTAACAGCGTTACATAATGCTTTCCATCATCATTACAAAGTCATTTTTATTACTACTTGTATTTGTAAGAAAGGCTTCTATTGGTTTTTCTCACAGCTCTGTATTTCAGGTTGTTTCTGCTTTAGTTTGATTGCTTCATTAGTTTTAAACCTGGTCATGTCTGCACTGAGAAGAAAATAAAAGAAACACTGGGAATCCTTATCCACAGGGAAGAGCCGTAAAACAACAGACAGAAACATAAAAAGAATTCTTCCACAGGATAAATCCATATCAACAAATAATTCAATAAAAAGGAAAGGAAAACAACCTGGAAGGATCCCTGCAATACTTTAATCTTTACATATGCTCCTTCACTAGTTACTTCCATTTTAGTGATTAATCATATTAATTGCATCTGTTGCAGACCTCAAACCAACACTCCAATATTTGGCAACTTTTATTTGCATATGGTTAGATGCAAAAGCAGTATAAAGGTATCCTGCAGCTTTTCTCAAAATGGTATTCTAATATTTTCCACATGTATGATGGCAAAGAATACCTTTTAATTAAAAACTGTAGCTTCAAGACAGAAACTCTGCACTGAACACAAAAATATCATTTTTTGAGAGTGAAGAGGAAGAAGACTATAGGTGTTGTAAAAAACTACCTTTCACTCCCATTTCTTCTTAACTGAGATCAGCCTTAGGCACGATATATATTACACACAACTCCAGTGGAATTCTCTTGTATTTAGGAATAAATTTTTGTTGTATAAAATGTATCATGAAAAAAATCTCCAACCCTTAAAAAATAAATCTTACAAAACACAACTCAACTTTCACACTTACTGATTGAATACAACTTGCAACTTAAAACAATTATTCAACAGGTTAAATTTGCAATTACAATAATGGATCATGTACTGGATTGGTTGCTTCTAGAACCACATATCAACATTAAGCAGACTAACATGTTCACTGTCATCCTGAAGAGGGCAGTCAGACAACATCAAAGGAATGCTGTAAAATCAAGTCGTATCTGTAGGGCATTGTTCCGTTAAACCTGCTATATTAAAGCAGGACCATTTTCATTATAAGAACAAGATAAAAATCACTTCATCTTCATGCTAGCATTCTTCTTAGTCTACTTTTAACTTGAGAAGAAACTATTTCTGGGAAATCTGGATACTCCAATTATGCCTCTACTGTTTGACAACAGCCTCTTGTTCCCCTTGATCACCATGTATTTTTTCTTTACGTTAAACTATTTTGAAAAATACACGATTGGTAAAATACACCTTCAGAAAGTAATATTTTGCAAAAAGTTTTCTTAAATTTTCTGTGAGAGCATACAAATGTTCTATAACAAAGCACTGAAGATAGCAAAGCATTCTGCAGTTCACCCTCATAGCAGCTCTTAGACAGCGTGGAAGAGGAAGGCTGCAAGTAGGAGCGGTAAGAATACAGAGTTACGGAATTACTACTGAAGAACATCCTATGATTACTATATTAAATTACAAAAACTACATCCTCTGTATCACTTCCAAGAAATACACTGCTGATGCAACAAATTGCATTAATAATTTTTGAAGTGTTTGTTATTCCTTTTTAAATGCAATATTAGTGTAAGCCCTTGAATGTAAAAAAATCAACCTCCAATTAACACCAGTTAATATCAACTCTGTCACCATTTATCTACTTGTCTACCCCAACCATTAGTTAATAACAACTCTATCATTTGTTTACATTAAGTAACATCAGTTGTATAAAATTATTATAATAGTATGAAATTATTCTAGTATGAAATCATTATCATTATAAGTGTGAAACACTTCACACATTCATTGTATGAAATTATTATCATTATAAATTACATAAAATACTCTACAGACATACAGCAAGACCACACTTGGGATGAACTCATCAGAATAATGTTAGCTCTGTTAAGTTTGACCAGATTTTTCTTAGGGAAGATTTAAATGATATTGCTGCTAGTCACCTCTTAATTTTATAATAATGGGTAGCAACTTAGAAACTCGCAATGCCAGCAGTAATACTACCAAGCTTTTAGAAAATAGTTAACAGATCAAAACGATTTTTTTCTACTAGGTTTTCCTGGAATATTCAATACACTGAAAAGAAAGATGCTAAGCAAATGCTCTACAAAATATCTTACATTACATTCATTAAGTACTGTTGTATTACACTCATTAGATATTAGAAGTTTTATTTAGGAAGATTCATTATGTAGGTGTCTATGGCAGATAATGGCATTTGTATAGTTTGAGTTATATTAAATTTGATTAATTTTACTCAATTAGCCCAGCGTTATAATATGGAAAGCACAAGGGGAATGTTCTTGAAGGAATAAAATAGAGTGTGGAATTATTTGCCAAAGAAAGCAGTAGAAACATTATTTTTGGCACACCATGGACTGTAAAAAACATTAAAGAAAGTACAATTGCCAAAGAATGGACTAGCAAGTGACCTACAAGTTCTTACCCATCTGCTTAAGTAAACTGTGATCAATACAGTAATTTAACTCCAAAGCAACTCTTGAATATTACTTGGAATTGCTTCCACTAAAAGAAGAGAGGAAGTTGCTAAAGACATACTTTAACTACTGCTACTTAGTATAAAGATAACAAATTCAGAATATTTATTTGCTTCTATGTTTTTATTTACAGTGACTCATTTTCATGAAAGAACCTACCACTATGTCCAGAATATTCCCCACACAGCACATGATACAGTATGAATAGTAGTTTAAAACTGCGCTATGACATCTAAATATTAGTAACAACAGAAAGCTAGTTTAAATCTGTGCTGTTCTATACACAGCATTCCAATAGGTCCAATATTCTGCAGATAAAAGGATATGCCAAGATCATATTTTATAGAATCTGAGAAGTGGAAAGCAAAAACAACTAGACTAAGGATTCTCTCTCAAAAATGAGTAGTATCCTGGAAAACAGGACTCACCCATACTTCTATTGATAGAACAAGAGGAAATGGTTGTAAATTAAAAGAAGGAAGATTTAGATTAGATACTAAGAGTTTAGATATTACTCAGAAGATGGTAAGGCACTGGAACAGGTTGCCCAGTAAACTGTGGATGCCCTATCTCTGGAGGCATTCAAGGTTAAGTTAGACGAGGTTCTGGGCAGCCTAATCTAATGGGTGGCAATCCTGCCCACAGCAGGAGGTTGGAAGTAGATGATCTTTAATGTCCCTTCCAATCCAAGCTATTCTATGATTCTATAAAGACTAGAAAAACAAATGTACATAGAGCTTTCAGTGACTCCTTCCATGCCCCCTGTTCCTCTTCTGAACAAGAGTTCAAAAGATAACTCTCTCTCAGGACAGCTAAGACACATGGCAATGATTTTCTCACTATTTCTTTTTTTGCTCTTGATCAACCAGCAGAACACTGAGAGGCAGATGGAGAGATCCTGTCTTTATCTTTTTAGTAACATCTTCTTGACCAACATTTTATTTTTTTTTTTAGTTTTTAGTTTTAACTGCTGATCTGTTTGATTGGCTACTTGAAAACAGTACTCTGATATTTTCTAGAGCAGTGAGACTAATAGATTTCCTTTCTTTTCTACATTAAAAAAAAAACAACCTCTTAGATGTCTCTCACTGATAGGATAAATGATAATAAAAATATCCGTTCTTTTGTATACTTTGCCATTTCTTTCATTGTAAGTCAACAGCAGAAGACAGTTAAATTTAAGAATCCTTTATAAAGCACACATTAAATTAAACTCAGCTCCTAATGATACACAAAATACACGCTGAATTATAGCTTACCTATTACAATTCTGAAACAAATGCAAAAAAAAAAAAAAAATTTGACTTGGAGATCATTCAGAAAGCAGCAGGCTTTCTGAAGTAGCTACAAGCTTCCCCTAAAAGAGACAAATAATCTTTTCTTATATAATGGAGCCTAGTCACTCAAAACGCAACAAGTCTTTAAAAAGGATGTTCCACACCTGCAAAACATCGATTATACAGTTTTATAAATTACATAAAAATACATGTATATACTTCTACACTCACACACCTATTTATAGATACATATGCAACTTCATCTAATAGGAAGTAAAGACTGCACCTTTCAGTGCAATGCAACTTCCAAAGTTTTTAAAAACACAATAGTCTGGTCAACACACAAAGAAAAAAAAATCACCGGCTACACGAGCTTCTCTCCATTACTGGTCATTTCAGGCTCCTCCTTCCTAAGCACAACCACCAGAAAACTGTTTGGCAAATGTTTCATTCAGATGATCACCAGATCACTCTGTCTCAAATATGACAAACTTGCTGTTCATTACCTTTTCAGAACTGCCTGCGAGTTAATCTCTTTTGGACACAGAATAAATCAACACTGCAGACTTATAATTCTGACATAATAATAAATGATAATTTTAAATAATTTTAAATAAATAATAATTTTAAATGTATATATTTAAAATATTTTAAAAGGGACAAATGAAAAAATTATAAGCAAATCAAGAAAAATTTCATAAAGAGAAAGCATTAAATGCAACAATATGATGTGTATCAGGTACAAAGAAGCCAAGCACTGCTTGAATATTTAAGCTGCATAAAATTGACAAGCTAAGAAAGAATCGTTCAATATATATATTTTTTCCATTTGACCCTTCCTTAAGCTGATGCATCACATCATGTACTTATTTCCTGCAGGAATGAAAAATGCTTCTCATTCCACTAGTACTAAAGATCTAAGTACTAAGATGTTAAGTAACTTTTGCTACAGAACAGGTATAAAATAGGCATTATGTTTGGATTTTAATGAAGAAGATCAGCTACTTTGACAGAAAGGTTTATTTTTACACACAAGTTTCATCCAAACATTAGAAGTCCAAAGGATTCTTTTGTATGCAGCACTTTAGGTTGGTTTTGTTTCCGCATGCTTTCACACACCTGTAACTGTTATGGGACTGATGAGACAATGTCTTCTCCTCTGCACACTGAAAAGTAACTTTTATTTTCTGAGACGAAAAGGGTAATTTCCCCACATTCAGGTTCTTAATATACAGATTAACAAAGAGTTTTAAGATTTGGTTAAGATCATTCAAAGAAGTTCCATCCAAAATTTGGAACATCTCTGGTGTTTAAAAGGAAGGAAAAGCATCTTCCTTAATACCTTCTAGACAACGACCAAACTACATTACTTCAGAATGGACAGACAGTAATCCTTAGCCTAGTAGAGAACATGATCACCAAACTGATTTTACATTCACTCTCAAAGTGTGCCGAAGGCGATGCTAAGTTTTGTGCAGAAAGAAGTTACCTCTCCATCACAGTCACACAGTAGCACACTCATTCAAAACACTTGCAAGGTAAGTTCATACAGATTTTACTCTAAACCTGGGCTCATTCTGACTTCATTCATTTGGCTATATTTAGAAATTTTAATCAGGTATATGAAGGTATACCCGGGTATAGGTTATTTTAATACAGTAGGATACACAACCTCTTATGGTTTCAGATATGCAGACCTGCAATGGCCTGCTCTGACAATCAGCTTCCATTCATTTCTCCAAAACAGGAGCATGTCATCCACCACTGCTCCCCTACTTGTTATTAATCTTATTTTTCTTTTTGCATAATGCTGTATTATTCATGTTTAGCTTTTGAGGTAGCTTCAAGCAGCAGCAGTATAGTACATTTCCTTTCAAAAATATCATTCTTTAGAAACTGGACACTTACATGAGATACTGAAAAGTCAAATCTAGCCAAAGAGAAAAGACACTACTCCCCCTTACCCCCCCCTTTTTTTTTTTTAGAAAAGGTAATTAAATGATGTGTAATTTTTAGGGAGAAAATGCACTAATTCTTGGGACAGTTATTCAAAGATTACAGGTGCTATATTCTCAATACAACACTGGTTTTTTTGTATGCAGCTGTTTCAAAAATATTATGAAGAGGAAGAGTTAACTTAAATCTTGGACAGAAGCATCTTCACAGAACACTACAGCTTCACTTAAAAATCTATTTTTCCTTTAGGCAAACTGGCTACTGAATAACTAACAATAAAATAACGCATGCGTTTCAGTTCTATATGTCTTATCAGTGTTCCTGCACATTAATTAGCCATTGATTTGAAAACGTCGATTTTCCTGATAATGGTTTTATGTGCACTATGATCAACCTCATTAAATTCCTTTTATTCCACATGAAAGAGAGGATCTCAGCTTCACAATTATTTAAATAGTCCCAACTGAAAGCAGTGATGCTGATTTTTTCTCCTATGCTTAGAGATTTTTTGTTGCTTATGTATATAAATGCCTAGACTGGTATATTACAGGATAAAGAATATGAGCAAAATTAACTTCATTAAACAATATGCAGTTCTAAGCAAAATTAACTTCCTTAATAGCAGCAATATTCATGCTGTTTTCACATCTTGCAAAAAAACTGTACATTACACAGGGAATGAATTTGCTACTACCATTATGATGATAAATAGACTGATCCCTTTTAAAACTTAACTCCTGTACTTTTATCTACCTGTTAAGAAAATAAGTAGCAATTGAAAATATAATAAACTTTCAACACCCATTTCATCTCCTAAAGCTGAACTCTGGCAACACAAAGAACAAACAATAGCCACCATGCATAGGAAGTGGAAAATAATATTCCTTTGACTTAGGAATGTTGGACAGCTTCAGTACCTACACTTTCTCCTTGAGAGTTCAGAGTTCATGGTTGAACTTACAGGAATGCAATCAACACCAATTTAAAAAAAAATTCTAAGACAAAGTTTAAGAAAAATTATATGGAACTATAGGTTTACATCTTATAACCCCACTCAAGTTGAAGTTTCTATTTTAAGAATTGCATTCTATCACTTAACAAAGGCAACAAGCTACTTACCACATTTATCAACTTTGAATATTGTTTACAGTGCACCTGCTTAAAACCAAGAAATGCTTCTTTCCTATAAAGCTTATCTATTTCACAGTTCTATGCAGCATTTTGCTGAATATTTAGATATTGTCCAGAACACCCAGCAAAATAAACCCACCTATTATTAGACTCAGTAATTTCCAATGCGTGTTTTGGCTGAAGAAGGTTTTATTAGCTCAGTTTCTGATTTAGTAAGGTAATTAAATACATGACTACCTTTCAGTTCTTTGGCCCCAGTCCCACATCTATCATTAATTATTTTTGGATTAACTCTGTTGAACTAGAAATTTGCAGAAAAAGATCTTGTATTAGAAGAATACTAGTAGTACTTCAATATATATTCTGAAAGGAAGTACCAGCACATATCAAAAGTGCAGTATCAGACAATATTCCTCAGAATGTATGTCCTCATGGGAAAAATATGTTTACATTTTAAGAACTGTTCAAATCTGTGAAATCACAGACTCACATCTGTACCAGAGCCCTGAATATCATTTAACAGAAGGAATTAGTGGGATGTCATGTTATTAAATATTAATGATTATTCACTTTATCACAAAACATCTTTGGACAGACCAAAGCATGAAGCAATTTCTTAAATATGTGTTGTTATTTTTTTCTGCAGTATACATTTTATTCAACTGTAATAAAAAAAACACCGAGTAAACTTCTGAAAATTGTCATATAGATTAAAAAGAAGCTGAAAAAGATGCTGCAAAAAGCACATGAGGCTGTTAAACAGTAAATATCCACCCCAAGCAAAGAACAACCCTACACATACTGAGCAATGATTAAAACATTCACTTGAAAACTGAGGTGAGAAAGATGGAAAAAAATCAGTAAGGTATAAATTACCTGCAAACAGAGCACTGCCGCTGTGGCTGGAGAGCAGTGAACATCACTATCACGGAGTAGTTACGAGGTGGAGCCTTCACAAATCTTCGAAATTTGTCTCCATTCATGCGGATGACTGAGCGCCTTGAGCTCCACTCCATTAGCTGTTCCACCTTCTCAGCCAGAAGATTCTGTAATTGAGGACAGAGAAGAGGAATGTTTAAGTTTAAACTTGAAGCACTCTGTGACTACATTCTAGTTTTGCATTCCCTGAGCACCCACTGACTTAAGCTGGAAGTTAGGAGGCAACTCTATAGCATAGTTTATCCTTGCATGTAGACCAGTAGATCACAAGCCTCTTAAAACAACTGTTTGTTCTTTTAAGAGAAATGATACATAAAATGAAATCAGACATACAGCTTGTTATTTAGACAAATGAGTAAAGCAAGTATGACTAAATGTAGGACACCAGTATGGCAGTTAAATTCCATGTAGCTTTAGAAAATGAAACATTATAGCATGTACTCTATTCAGTAAAAATCAACTTAGAGGAAGATAATATTATAATGAAAGATAAATCTGCTATGGAAAGAAAAAATAGATGAGAAAACTGGATAATATGACTTACAGAGAAGCTGAGTGCTGCAGGAAGGTTGGAAGGATAGAAAGATAAACAGAAATGGAAACAAGGTGAAGGGGCAGCAAGCAAGAGAGAAACTGAGGTCAGAAAATTGGAAAATGAGAGACCTATGACAAAGCAAGCATGAGTTGGCAGTAGGCAGACAAACTAATGAGGAGCTGGAAAAAAGAGAATGTGATGACAGGTATGACAAAGATGAACGCAAATACTGCACAAGAACTGTCCAAGGAGATGAGGTTAATAAATAGGTTGTTAAATAAATAAATGGTAAAATCAGTATAAAAATCAGTAAGGCTATTTTGATCACCAATATACATACAAGGGCTGCTCCAAAATTAACACCTCCTATTATGTTGGCCCATGATGTCAGAGGCAGACGTTAGTGCTATAGCATAAGAGGTTGAACATTATAATCAATATTCTATTACATTTTGTTGCCACGCAATTGATGGCAACAGAGAAGCAGTTTGACAAAACGGCATCTGACATGGAAGTGCATATGAAATAAAGGTATGCTGCTGAATTCCTCCATGCAAAAAACAAAACAAAACAAAAAAACACCAATTAACATTTATCAATGCTTGATGAATGTGTATGGAGACCAAACAGCGGATATGAGCACAGTGAGATGTTTCAGCAGTGGTAACAATGACATGAAAGACAAGTAAAATTCCAGATGGCCATGCAGATTTTTACAAGCTCTGCATGAAGGCTCTCATTTATCATTTGTGAAAACTCATAGTTAATGGTGGTAACTATGCTGAAAAATAATGTTCTGTAGCTGAAAATTTGCTCTATCAAACATTGATATTGTGCTCTTTGTCTGTTGTCTGTTTCTATGGAAATAAAAAGGTAGCATTACTTCCAGAATGACCTATGTATATGAGTGAAAGACTGAAGTACTAGGGTTACCAGAAAATTACACCATCCTTCTTATTATCTTACTATGTAATACTTATCCTAAGCATTAGAAAAGATGGCTCTTGCACAGCTCTTTATAAGACACAAACAGTAATCAGAAGTTTCAAGTTTAAAAGAAGATCTGATCAGCATAAGTCATAAATAGTTTTGAAACAGTTTTTGTCCCTACTAAGCCTAAAAATAATCCTTTGAAATTTCATTGACATTCACTTACTTGGGTTGATATATCTATAACTATCAATCTGAATGGGAGATTACAACTGTGTATCAGGAGAATACGAATGAAAGAATTAATTCTAGAACTTTTCTTCTGCTAAAAGACTTACTAGTTTTTTAGTAGTTTAACTTCAAAAAGTTATTATGAGATGTATTTTAAAAAGAAATCAAAACAAACAAACCCAATAGGAAACAGGCTTTTTCTCAATGCACCAGATAAAAAAAAAAAAACTACCAAACAAACCTAGTAAATTTACCACACTAGGCAGCCAAGCTAGTACTTCAGGAGTATGAAGCTATCAGGTACCATTTTACTACTTGCTTCCTCGGATTCTGAACAATATACTTATTCCATATATAAAACTATCATTTAATAGATGGTGGATAACTGCATACATCATAAAACTTCTTCTATAGACCAGATTACCAAATCTTAGGTCATTGACTGCACTTTATTATCCTACCATGTTTAAAAGCCACTTCTATTCCAGAAAGTCTACTCTTGCAGAATTATTAATAGGAAAGATCTTCTAGAGTAGCTCTAAACTTCACAATCAAATCTGTGGAATGTACTATATTTTAAGGCCTTCTGGTTTATAACATTGTGTAAATGGTTGAAAGTCTGATACTGTTCTGCCATTTACAAGATCTTTGCACAACGAATGCTGCTTATCTCATTCAATAATAAAAGAAATACATCTAGTGTTAAATGAGCTTCTGCTGTAGTGATGCATTTTACTTTGAAGCTGAGTATCAATTTTCAAGAAATATGGCAGATTTCAGCATTACAACTGTTTTAAATTAGTATCAAAAAGGTACCCACTTCTTAGTATGCTCTGAAAATGAGCAGTCTATTCAAAGGGAAACAAATGTACATTTTCAATGCTGAAGATGGCAGGCTGGATTTAGAGATTTCACAATCAAGAATGTACCTTAGATATTTTTCTAAGAAAACTGAGTTTTTAAAATAAACTTGTATAAAAATAAGAGAAAATAGTTGTCGAACAAAAGCATGACTGAGCTGTATCTCCAGAAAAAAAAAAAAAAAACTTCTGCATAAAATAACAGTTGAAAAGAGAAAGGAAAAAAAACTTGATAGGAAAAAAAACTCTATTGATACACAGGAAGGCACTGTCAGAAAATAAAATGAAGGTGATCTATCTAAAATTATTCTTGCACAGAAAATAAAGATATCCTTCAGCATAATTCTGTCCCCAGTTACCATCAAACCACACAAGTACAAAAACTGTCAACCAAGTGAATCACCCTGAGGCTTCTGAACTTCTGCAGGTGTGTTAACTCACCTCTTTGCACCTGGCAAACTTTTCTGTTTGCCAGAATCCTTCACATCCCCAGATAAAAGAACATGATTAAATCCAATTCACTCATGAATCTAACGAGATTCAAAAAGGCCTCATGCAAAGTGTTGCACTTGGGTTGGAGTATAAGTGTACAGACTGGGAGAAAAATTCATTGAGAGCAGTCCTATCTTGGGGGTCTTGACAGATAAGAAGCTGGACACAAGCCAGGAGTGCACACTTGTTGTCCTGAAGGCCAACAGTATCCTGGGCTGCATCAAAAGAGGGTTGGCCAGCAGAGAGAGGGAGGTGATTGTATCCTTCTGCTCTGCCCTTGTGAGGCCCCATCTGGAGAACTGCATCCAGGCCTGGTGCCCCCAGCACAAGAAATATGCAGACCTGTTGAAGCAGGTCCAGAACATGGCCACAAAGATTATCAGAATGCTGGAGCACCTCTTCAATGAAGAAAGGCTAAAGGAGCTGGTCTTGTCCAGCTTGGAGAAGGGTCTGAGATCTCACTGTGGCCTTCCAACACTTGAGAGGAGCTTATAGACAGGAGGGAGTTCAATATTTCACACAGGTTGATAGGACTACTAGGACGAGGAAGAATGGCTTTAAACCAAAACAGAGGAGATTTAGATTAGTTATTAAGAAGAATGTTTTTACTTGGAGAGTGGTGAGGCACAGGCTTCTCAGAGAAGCTGTGGATGCACAAACCCTGGAGATGCTCAAGGCCAGATTGGATGGGGCCATGGGCAGCCTATCTGCTGAGTAACAGCCCTACCTATGGCAGGGGATTGGAACTGGGTCATCTTTAAGGTCCCTAAGACTCTATAATTCTCTAGACAAAACTCATCTAGTGATGACTGAGATATAGGAACAATTGTTACTTATTACTGAGAAAACCACAGACAGTAACTCATTTTTGCTCCTTTCTGTTCCATACAAATAAAGACCCTGTGCTTGCTTAAGCTTATCCATTTGCAGAGTTGCTATAAATATTTACCAGTTAATTTACCAGCTTTATGCTGATGATTCAATTGGACTATTTTAGTTGAAAACACTGGGGAAAACAAACAAACAAACAAAAACCACATAAATCTGAGGAAGGGAAATTTCTGCTTTAAGCAGAAACAACTTGGAATTTTGTTCCTGCAAACAGCTACACAGCGTTTTTAAATCAATGGATTTAAAGGCAGCTCTGTATCATTTACCTGTTTTCATTAGCTTATACCCCCTCTGCACAGAAATAGAATATGTAAGACATGTGGAAACAACATAAATGCTAAGTGTAAAACCAAAACAATGATATTGCTTCCATTCTTACACTCTTTTGAAATGAATGCAAATATAAAGCACAACATTTTTTCAAAACTAAATAACTCTTAAAAACATAATTGAGAAAAATCAAAATACAGAAACTTTCTGAAGCAACGACACTTTTTTTTTATTTAAGACAGGGATTTTTCAATGAAGAGATCACCTATGAAAATAATTTTTGTTGCTTCAGTAGAGGCAGAGTAATTAATGTTTTGGCCTTAATCCTATTAGCCAGGAGAACAGTCTCTACTGAAATTAGATTCTTGGAAGAACAATTCTACATAATTCTGCTTTTGTCCCTATGGCTAACAAAGGAATTTTCCATGTTTCCATATTGTCTGTATCACTGAAGCAAGAACAAAACCAAAGTGTACAGTTACCGTTCCTCTGTTTTAAATCTCAGTTTCCACTGATGTGATGAAACACCAATGCTACCTATCAGAACTGAAGGCAAGCTGTAGCAAGTTATAAGAAAGAAGATGCTGGCAGGCTTGGCTCCTGGCTGCTGCAGCTGATTAGAAGCCTCCAACAATTCCCTGCTGGGGACTGCTTCCCAGCAATGTCTGTATCTCTTTCTTGCTTCTTAAATCAGTAGAGTCTGGCATCTACAAGCCTTCTTTTTAGTACTCTGTGACTAGAAGATTAGCAACTCTAAACAAAGCTTTACTCACTCATTCTCCATAAAAACAATGTCTATAAGATAAAGGATAAACAACAATAACCACAACCTGATATTTAAAGATGTTTACCCTCACTTGACTGTTAATCTTCCTTGGCTAAAACTTGTAAATTTCTC